TTTTTAGACTATAAATTCCTAGAATTATGCAAGATGTTCGAAAAGCTACAATACAACAAGAAAATTAAATAGTTCCATCAAATGAACTGAGTTTTTTTTTCCTATTGATGATACAGGACACACATCCCGATTTCTATACATACATTCAAACCTCTTAAATATTTCTATAAAGCAGTACTTTCAAGTTTAATACACGATGAACTTTGTTTTCGATTTTCAAAAACTAGTATATTATAGAGTTCTTCTTCTAGTTTTTTTTTCAATGTTTATCATTATTATTAGTCTCTAATTATTTAGATCTCTTTGTCTTCGTTCATAAACAATAATGTGATAATTCTAGAAAAATCAAACATATTGTATTCAAACTGGCTAGTTGTGAAAACTTTAAAACTGTATCAGCTTATTTCATGTACTGTCTATGCAGGTTTTCGATGGGAAACTAAACTTAGACATGTCTTCTAGCACTAGCACTATAAGTGAGATATTGAAATGTTGTTTTCTTTTGGATAGTCCTATTAAGCAATCATATTCTTTAATGCAGCAAGAGAACATAAAACTATATAAATACAAAGTCAAGTTATGAAGAAAAACGTTATCAAAAGCACTTGTGTTGTGTTAGGACGTATAGATAACATCGAATGATAAAAAATAACGAAATTTGTTTTGTTAATATTACATCATTTATTTTTGATCATGTGATAAGTTTCAACTATATGTCTTAAAAGGAGGTCATTTAATCTAGATACGTGAAACGGGATTGAATACATTTTTAATTAATAATGGTGTTGGTTTTGATACAGATCATACTGAACGTATTAATAATTTGGGTAAAATTGAACGGTTCAATTTTGAAAGAAGTTTATCATTTTGGTCGAATGAATATGCGAATATGATTAATGGAACAGATGGTACAATATGGCATCCATATACAAAAGACACTGAACGAATTTATGCATTTATATCTGATATTTGTCGATCGGTTTATCTTAATTTTAGTGAATCACATACTAATAAATTTAATATTAAAAATTATCGTTATACAATGCCAAATAGTGTATTTGCGAATTCAACAGAAAATGAAGGTTTTTGTTTGAATTCTACAATTCATAATAAAACACATGAATTGGAATGTTTACCAAGTGGCCTATTTTCATTAAAAACATGTATTCGTTGTCAGTTAATTCATTCTCACTAAAAATACTTATTATGTATATTATTATTTTCTATTTAGTTGGTGAAAGTTTACCACATATACCATTACCTATCATTGGGTCAAATCCACATTTTCTTGCAGCTGATTCTTCAGTACAAAATGGTGTTAGTGGACTAACACCTGATGACATAAAACATCGTAGTTTTATGGATATAGAACCACTTACTGGCAGTACGTGTTCCATAGTTTAAATGAATAAAAAACTATGATATCTTTTTTTCTTCGAATATATTAGTTGTTATGAGTGGATCTCGACGACTACAAATCAATCTAAATGTTATTAATGATTCAGCCATACAGTATATATGAATATTTGTCTTTGATTAAAATAATAATCGCAATATTTCAGGGCTATATGTCGTCTAAATCCCGTTATTTATCCTATGATATGGGTTGATGAAGTGAGTACGAAAATAAACAACATGTTAAAGTATGAAAAATATTTTTATTATTATTTTAGCATGCAGAAATCGATAAACCCAATGCTGATAAATTTTATAGAAAAGTAACTAGACCAATAACAGCACTTCATGTTATGAAATATATTATACTTGGTATTGGTATTGTGTTATTTCTTTATGCAATTACTTTAATAGCCTATCGTCGACATAAAGTATATTGTTAAAATTTATCTTTGATATATTTTTATTTGTTGTTATTATTTATATTTATAGGCAAATAGTACTGGTCCCGCTTTTCCAAAACAGCATCCAGACGAAACGTCGGCATTGCTTTTTTAAAAAGAGAATCGATGATAAATCAAAATAAAATATTTTTCTTTTCGATTTTTTAAATTTCAACTGTCTTTCATTTAACAATCATTTCTTATTTTTTCTTGGATACAATTGTTTTTTTTTTCGTTTATTTTTGTATATAAGCCTACGCTAGAATGAAATAACGTCAACATCAATAGTATGAAAACATACATCCTTGAATGTTACTTATTTTATTGAAATCTTTTTTAAAAAAATAATGAAAAAAAAAAACTTTTTTTAATAATAAAAAGCATTTATTGAGAGACATTCATTTTCAAGTTTATTTTGCATTGATAGATAAAGGATTGCCAGCAAAAACTCTTCTAGAACGACTAGATTGCTATTTATATAGACAATAAGGTCTAACATTTAAAAAAAAAATAAAAATTATATAATTAAATCATATGTACCTATTATTAAGTAACTATTTACAGTTCGGTTTGATAGAAGACTTGAATAATAGTGATTCAAGAGTAAATGGTTGATTGATCATAATACAATTTAATATAATTTGCCTATAACTTTGGAATTTTCAACCTTTTTCATTAAGTACGTTCGTTATTAGCTCTAGAGACATTACTTGTGACCATAGGTTTCTATTTATGACAAAGAAAAACAATACTAGGTAGAAATAGTAACAAAAAAAAACAGATCGTAATCTATGAAATAAAATAATGCATAAAACTAAATCTATGTATGTACCAATAGAAGTAGGGAAACTTAGCAGCCAATTCTAGCATTTCTTACTTACATTCGCTTTTAGACTAATGGCGACTCTCTAATTAGTTGTGATTGACGCCGAATTTCATTCTTTATCCAACGATGATATTTTTAAGAGAAGTTATTAAACAAAGAGTGGATGCTTTCAACTGAAAATCCAAGTTTCGGATCCTCTTCTACAAGTATATCGTACGTAAGCATGTACGATATCACTAGTTTTTGGCTTCGGTGAAAGCTTTTCTCGTTTAGGTTCAAGCCTTACGAGAAAACATTTCCAAGTGTTAATCGCAGACCCAAATGAGAGTTACTGCAGTTGATCGAGTTTGACGAGCTGGTCAAGATTATGATAAAAGCTTTTCACCATACTACGTACTTTCTTATATAGTTTTCAGATCGTATTCGTCCTATGAAACATCACATAGAGGCATCAAACGCACTGATTGATGTCTACACGTACCACATGGATTGTTATGCGATGAACTTACAAAACGGCCTATTTTAATTTCAGACCTTTCTTTTCATAGACTGTTTGACTATTGAAACTTTGTTTTCTGTCAGTGATTGCACGTGGAAAAAGAGAAGAACAGAGGTAAAATTCAATACCATCACTATTTCTTACTATATTGTTGGACAATATTCAATTTGAGAAGAAAACGAATTAAGGACAAGTCTAACATGCTAAATATGGCAAATATCGCTCAATATGTACTTGATGGAATATTATCAAAAAAAAGCTTAGATAGCTAACTTGACTTGAGAAGAAACGTCGACGACTGACTATCTGCTGACTTTTTTGAACGACATTTTAACAAGTGACAGCTATGAAATCGAAAGCAATAGTACTTTAGAACTTGTAAACGATATCGATATCGACTTTATGCCTCAAGAACATGGGCAGGACTTGATTTTCTAACAAACTTCTTTTTTACATTGGACTACATTAGAAAAGTCGTAGATTTTTCAAGTCCCGATATCGTTTTCATCACAATATAATGTGCATCTTTACGTGTCAAGTGTCCGATGCAACGAGTACAATGTCGAGAATATGTTGAGAATGATGGAAACAGTCAAGAGAAACTATCACGCATCAAACTGCTCTTTGTTGAAAAACTGAAATAGGTGCGAAGCGAAAGCTTGCCCGTTCATGATACAAACATTTGACGATGAACATTAACTCAAGCGAAGGTTGAGAATCTCGATTAAACTGCTGTTTAATCTGGTTTCCATTACGAACTCTCATCACATCACACATTATCTTTTGCGAATGAAAGATCGACATTCGTTGTTGTCAAATTACTGTATACCTACCACACATTCATATACCATGATGCTTCTCATCAGTGCTGCCCATAACAACCTTGTGATTAGTATTTCTTTCATCAATAGAAAACTAGGCATGTCGAATTGATCATCGTGTATCAATAGATAATCTGAATTATCTTGACTTAAGAACTCGCGGCGCTATAATCAAGCTGCAATTACTGGTTCACAATTAATTTTACTCAGATATTTTCGTGTCGATGATTTCATACTCTTGATCAGTCTGTGGCTATATTCAACCAATATATCAATCTTTTCCGAATGTGATCGAGATTCAGTTTACCTTCAAGATAGACCGACATTCAATGCACAGCTGTCATGATTATCCATTTATTTGCTGTCTCATTATCAACATATTTTGTTTTCCTGAACATTTTTTCAACAACAATCATTTTCACAAATAAAAAGATTTGCGTCTCTTGAACTTTTTCAAAATAAACGTGCTTGACCTATATCAATAGATACTGCTCAATATGGTTAATTCGATTTGAAAACTCGAATTAAAAGAAGTGCGGGAGAAAACGCCTAATAGCATTGTGACAAGCTCGGCAAGCTTTATCGACTGGGAAATAAAAACACTAAAAATAAATAAGATCATATGTTGAATTCAATCAGAATCAAATACAATTCAATTTAAAATTTTCATGCTCATTCTCGCCTTTGCTATATATGGTTGGAAAAAAAAATTAAATGACACATTTCTTCAATTAATTGACAATTAATTTTGTGACATTTGCGTTGCTCTTCAATCATAGATTTTAATATTCAAAATTGCTTTTTTTAATCTTCTTCTGTTATTAATCAGAACTTGTTTTCTTAGTGAATTATTACTGAATTCTGAGCATGTTTAACACAGAAAACTATTTGAAATTAAAGGAATATACTCACAACATGCTTACAGCACACTCATATATTGTTCATCTGTTGTTCGATAGTACGTTCAGAAAAAAAATTAATATATAAGACAAACAAATTTAAGTGAATATATTTGTTTATAAAACAAACTCCTCCACTTCATCAACGACTGTCCTATTTGGTATTGATCTTGTTGCATTTGTAACAATTTTTGGTCTTTGTAATTTGTCATTTTGTGTTGTATATTGTTTTGAATTTGAATTAACTGTTGTTGAATTATTAGCTGTAGACGATGGTCCAAATAATGATTCAAATGTATCATCTTTAGTTTGTGTTGTTGTTGGTTGATTTGATGATTTTGTTGAAAATATATCATCTGGATCATTTTTACGATTTGCTGTTGGTTTATTTGAACTAGTACTAAACAATGATTCAAATGGATCAGCAGATGGTTTCATTGCTGTTGTTGTTGTTGGTTGTGCTATACAAAATTTATATTTATGTCAATAAAGAACAATATTACTAAAAACAAAATTTACTTGTTGCTGTCGAACGTGTTGATGATTCGAACATATTCATTGATGGACGTTGCGTAGATGATGATTGAGCAGCAGCAGCTAATCTTCGTTCTTGTTGTTCATCAGCAACTAATTTAGCAAGAAGATCTTCTTTAGCTGAATCTTCTTTTTCATTGCTTCCAAACATATCCGACCATTTTTCATCGAGTGGACGTGTTGTACGAGATTTTGTTGGTACTGATGGTTCAGTAAGTTTAAAAATTGAAGATGATGTATTTCCACCAGTTCCTGATGAATTATATTTTGATTCAGTTGTTGATGGAATAGGTGCTATTGGACGTTTATGAAGTTGTGTGTGAGATAAATGTTGTTCGCTTCGCTGAATATTTGTTGGCGGTGGTAATTTTTTAGGCTTTGATCCAAAAAAATCTTCATTATCCATTTCAGTTTTATCTTCGTCAACGCTCTTTGGTGTTGAGAGACGACGCGTAGGAGGTTTTCCTTTGGGTGGCAAATGACCTATTATAGAAAAAAAAAACATTTCAAAAAGGCAGTTTTAATCAGTACGTTTAACGTTTAAAAATTCCTTCACCAAAAAAAAGAGTTTCGTTTTCAAACTAAAATATTTTCAACATAATAAAAGTGTTAACATAAAAATAAAACGAAATAAAATTTTTCTGATAATTACGTTCTACTTTTCATTTTTACCAACATTCATTATGTTAATATCATCTAATATGTTTATAATTATTTACAGGAAATAGAAGTGTCTGTTATTATAGATCTACTATGTAAGGCGACTAATTGTTTATAACACGAATAAAGTGCTGCTGCGATTTTTAAAAATATGTAAGATTTTGTGTCCTTATTTTGATTAAATAAAATATAACAATAAAAATACAAAATGTGTATATTTTGAAAATTGAAGTTAAATATTTAATATTTGATCAATCGAATATTAATACTAAATAGCAAATAAGACTTTCCTATACTTTCCGTTATTTTCAATTGAATAAAACTAAAAACTTATTCTAAATTCTGATGATCAAATCCTTTGTATATGTAATTATTAGAATATATATATATGAGTAAATGTTACCATTTTGTGTTGTTGAGAATTTTTCATCATTTGATGAATTTTTAGTAGTTGTTGTTGTATTTTGTAATAATTTTTTTGGTGGAATTTTTTTCTTTTCATGTTTTGGTGAAGAATCATTTGAAGAAGATCGTTGTTGTGATTTTGATTTTTTTTCTCGTTCTTGTTGTTCACGTCGTTTTTTATCATAATCATTTATTTTGTCTCGTGAATGTGATGATGTTTCTTGAAGTGATTGTAATGAACGTGATTTAGATAAATTTGTTGGTGAATCTGATGGACGTTTACCACCACGTTGTACATATATATGCATTGTATCAATTTGTCGTGTTTTATCTTCAAATTTAAGTAATAAATCATTATATTTTTGTGAACGCATTTCAAGTTGACGTTTTAATTCACGTTGTTTTATTATTTCTTGATTAATTTCATGACGATGATTTTTTTCTAAATTGTCAATATATTTTTCCTTAACAAAAAAAAACAAAACAAAAGGAAATAATAGATTTATTATTATATATATATGTTTATTTATTAAATAAAAATTTAATTTACTTGATTAGTTAATTTTTCTTGAACTTCTTGTAATTTTTTATCTGTTGCATTTAATTTTTCATGTAATTCATAACGTTCATCAAGATTTTTTTCTTCTACAATTTTTTCATATTTTTTAATACGTTTTGTTTGATCACGTAATTTTTCTTCACGAGCTTCAATTTGTTTTTCAAGTCTCATTTTAACTTCACGTTCATTGGATAAAACTTCTTTCATATGTTCGATTTCATATGTAAAATCACGTACAATTCGATGGATATCAAATTCTTTTTCTTCATATTGTTTAATAGCTTTTTCTTCTCGTCGTTGTATTGTACGTAATGTTGAATTTTCAATACGTTGAGCTTCTAATTCACGACGTAATTCAGCTAGACGAGATTCAAGAGCTTTCACTTTATTATTTTGTGCTGATAATGCACGTTGTTCCATTTCATTTTTTGTTGATGATGAATGAGTTTCATTACGACGACGAATTGGATAAGCTCCTGGTCGACGAATTTGTTTTGGTCGAATATATGGTAAAATTGTTTCATTACGTCGAATATTTCCATTTTTTGTTTTATTATGATTTGCAGTTGTATATGAACTTTTTAATTCTGAATCACTACCACGACGAGGAATTTCATATGTACGTTTTTGAGATGGTGGTAATGAACCATGTTTTTTTTTTCTTTCTTTTGTACTTTCAACAATTGTTTCATCATCATCAAAACCATTATCATTATCAAAATCTATAAAAATAAAAAAAAATTTGAGATTTAACAAAAAATAAAAAGTTTATTTTGTTTTTGTTTCTAACCTGATTCATAAACTTTTGATTGGACTGATTCTGCTCGATTTGACATTTCTGATGATGTATTTTTATATCCGTTTGTTGCTGCTGATGATGTTTTTGCATTATTTACTGTCGCTTATCAGAAACAATAAAGATTGAAGATTTTAAAAAGTTTTTTTTTAATATTACTTCAAATCATAATACTTACGGTTTGATTTTGGTGATGAAAGTCTTCGTTCTTCTGATCTTGTTGGAGTTCGAGAACGTTCAACAATCGGTTGAGTTTTAACAACTGCTGTGTTTGATGTATCATTTTGTTTTGGTTTTATTGAAGATTTTCTTCTATCATTATCTGTCTTTGGTACACCAAAAAAATCATCAAAACTATCAACTGAATCTTTACGTTCGGGCATTATGTTTTCAAAAACGATAAGACTATTTCTTTTGGTCTATATGTTGTTGTTTTTTTTTGTTGCCACTTAGTAGCCAATATGACGAGTGAGAGAGGAAAAAAAAGAAAGAATTATCTATCTAAGAAGAAAAAAAACATAAGACACTACTAACATTCGCTCATTAGAAAAATTTATGTCACAGATAGAAAAGTAAAACGAGCTATTGCTTCTATCAACAATATTATAGTGTTGTAAAGGTGAGCAGAATGGAATAAAGAAACCAAGGCAACGTCCTTATCAACATACGCATGTGAGTTCATTTCTTCAGAAGTAAATCAGTTGGAGCAAAAAAAACGCCACTACTGTTATCACACATTAGAATGGCAAAAAAAAGGAAGAAAAAAAAAAAAACTTCTGTTTGATTTTCATATTGATGTCATTATTGAAAAAGTAAATTGATTTCTTGTTCTTTTTCGTTATTAAAATACAAAACATAGAAGTGATTCATTATGCATGTGTGCAGAATGCAAGAGGCGCTATATCCATTTTATTTATTTGTTTTTTTTTAAAAAGAAAAAAAAAGAAAAAAATAAAATGAAAATTATCGCTTGCGACCAAAACGTAAGAAGCCTGTATCTCGACGAGATATATTGTCTAATTTATTGCATAAAATATGCGATGATGTTGGATGACAACGAACCAAATAATAGTAATCTAAATTATGTTTTTCTGCTTGTTTTAAATTATATAAATTGAACAATGTTTCATCATCATTTGGATTATATTCATATGAACGAAACAATGTTTGCATTGGTTCATAATTTGGATTGATACGATAAGCTAATAGAAAAAAAAAAATAACATAACATTATCCATAATAACTTTTCTTATTAAAACATCTAAATCTAATCATTTTTGTTATTAATAAAAATTAAGTTGTTATACTTGAATTTTTTAATAATAATCCTCTCAACATACTGATTAACTATAAATATATTCTCAATTGTTCTTTTTCTATATATCAAATTGTATAAATTAATTCTGCCTACCATAACGGATTGCTATAAGATTTAATATTACCAAACATATCAAGACAGTATTTGCAGACATTGTATTCTAAAGAATATCCTAGAAAAGAAATAATCAATAATATATTGTATGTCATCAATAAATCTGAGAAATTATATCGAAGAATATATAATGATATATTCAATAATATTTAAGAGAAAAAAGAAGTTATAAGTATGAATATTAGTCTGATTTGATCGATAGTGAAATTGACCTGCTACTAGACTATTAAATAGTTCATTTCATACATCACTGCTATATTCATTTCGATGAATCTATTTTTCTTTAGGCTATCGAAGATGAGATGTCTGTGAAATTAAAAAAAAGAAAATCAAAAGCTATGTTACAAAGTATAGAAGTAATTTATTCAATTGAAAATATCAGGAGTGCTATAGAGAATAGGCTAAACCCAGAGTATTACATTCTTTTATATGATATGTCTGTTTTTAAAGAATAAATAACATATTGTGTAGTTTGAAGCTCCTTCGAAGCAGAAAATTAGAACATATTTCGCTTGAAAAATTGCGTCGCATATAGAAATACCAGAAAGTATATTGAAATACGTGGAAATACGGATGTATGAACAATATTGATTCCCTCATTTCTTCTTTTTTGTCACCGAAAATTAATGGAAGAATATTTGAAAGATTTGAAACGTTAATTTAAAATGTGTAGGAAGCGTCATTAGTTGTTCTCAATCTCTTTTCAGATATAACAGAACTTATTCTGATTTGATGCATTCCTACTATAACAGATGAACTGAAATTTGCACAAACTTCGTATTCATAAATATTTTATCACATATAGAAAATAAAAATATGAAACAACTAAAAATTTCTCAGGTTAATAAATACTCAACAATCTTATAAAAAGTGCGATTAAAGTTAGTCTTTACCTCTTGGTGGTTTGATAATTCTCAAGAATACACCAGTACTGCTGCTACTTGTTTATTCTCTTCTATATATATAGTAGAGTACCACCTTATTAAGTCAATCGTCTTCTTGAATTAATAAATCACTTTTTTATATCCAATCACTGATAAGTATCTGATTTATTTTTTCATTAACAATTTGTACAAGCCAACAAAAAAATATACTCATAACATGAAAAGAACAAGAGCTTTCATATTTTAGCGTCTTTCCAAGAAAAAAAGAACAACGGCCTAAACGCGTTGAAAAAAAAAGAAGAAAAAGATAGAATAAAGAAGGCAAAATACGCCCATATCTGATCATAGAAAGACAAAAAAAAAAAAAGAGAAAAATCTCTTGAGAAACAATATTTTGAAAATAATTAAACAACTGTTCCAATTAGCCCATCAATAATATCAATCGAATCTGTAAGTGTATAAAATAATTGTGAACGATTTTCTCGTAAATATTCTAAATATGCTGGAAAATCATTACATTCATTTAAGTGTTCTACATATTGAACATGACGATCAAATGATGAAGATTTTTTAATAACTGGTAAATAATAAGCCAAATTAACTGATGATGATTTTGATTTACAATTGTGATTGGATTTTTTAAAATTATCTAATAAACTTCGTGCCCATAAACGCGAATCTTTTTCAAAAGCAACAGGACGATTATAAAGTGATGTACGAGCTAAATAATCACTTGGTGATAATTGCTTTGAACCTAATTGAATAAAAAAGCTGTTAGAACAATCTCTATGGAATTGAAATATAAAATAGGACGAAACTGTTGGTTTGTAAAAGAAGGGATTGATTAATGTGTTCGGGCTTTATCAATTCTGACTTACGGTTGTAACATGTCGATAATAAAATATATTTAATCTCAAGATATTGTAGTAAAAAGTACAGGATAATTGTCATATTAGACCTCACACTTGAGACATATTTTGATGATTTGATTCGTATCGTACCAAGAATTGTTTATGCTTGCCCGGCTCAACTTAAAATGGCACTTTTAAAAGCACATTTCTTTTACAAAAAGGATTCTTAAACGATAGCATTCCACAATCACTGCAGTCATTTATTAGACTCTTGTAAAATGTTTCTTATCATACGGATCAGACAATTTTAATGCTTCGAAAAAACAACATGAGAAATAATTCAAATTATTTATTGAACTGAAAGACCAGAACACATTCTTTAGCACTATAGTTCCGTCTAGACCTTTTTGTAATGAGTACGTATTATCTGCTAATGGATTTCGAGATTTGAACACGAAACCTCCCAATTTTCAATGACTATTTGAATAACTCTTTGTTTACAAGCTGTAAATTTATCACTGAAACCAAGTTACCGAAATATATTACAGTTGAAAGTTTCATATACACTTTTTGAAGTTGAGATTGCACAATTACATCAGAAATCGACTAAAATCGAATGTTATGTTGAGTACAATTCAAAAGTGCCGTAGTTAGTTGACTTTTTAAAATTATTTCATGAAAATTGATTTAATAGTCGATTAGATATCCTTGATTATGTTGATTAATTCTGATTGCAATCGATAAAAAACCTACTCATGCAATCTCATTTTAATAAATTCTTGGCAATCAATGTTATGATCTTTAATTAGTCTTCTTTGATTTATATCAATTGAGATCAATATATTTATCAAAATTGAATAGATTATATTCGAAATTTATACAAAATAATCGATGAAATTTGGATTGTTTTCATTTTTTAGAGTATAATCGAGTATTAATATACTTATCGCGATCAAAGAGTGCATGCTTCCAATTGATTTAAGAGATTTTTCAATGAAAAATTGGTTTAATTGATTATGTGATTAGATTTACGCTGAAAGTGGCATAGTTAATCAATTCTTTTGTGCTTATTGTCGGAAATATTATGTTGAAGTTGATTATACGACCGTCTTTATTTTTTACATGGAAAACTTTCATAAGTAAAATGCTCGGTTATCAATTTCAAAGGATGAGGTTGGTTAACTATTCCTTAGTTAAAATATTAATGTTATTACAATGTTAATACTATTTCACTTCAGTGGCACACATACTAAATGCAGTTGACAGTGCACTCGGTCTTTTATGTCGATAAGGAATGTCATTGAACTGAATAAATGAAACTTCCGAGCCGTTGGCATAATAAAAATTTCTGATCATTATCCGTTGGCGGCATGCTAAAATCATGTGACTATCGAACGGTCTGACAAAATTTTAGATTGAACTTTGATCTCACAATTATGTCTGTGAACCGCAGAGACAAGTTCAAATTTTTACCCGTAAATTTCAACAGTCCTTTTACATCGTATTTCACAAAAAAAAAGATGTGTTTTTATTTTACCATATTTTAAATAATTTTCTTCAGTTTCCCATTGATGTTTTTCATAAGTATCTTGATCATTTTGTAAATTATGTGTACGTAAATAATCTAAAACATTTGTTGATATTAAATCAACATTTTCTTGTTTATCATTAAATTCTGTTGAATCGAGTAAATCTGTTATATCTGACATTTTTTTATTATCTGATATCATAGTTGATGTTGACTGAATTCGATCAACTGATAAATAATCATTTGTTAATAAATCAGATTTTATACGTGAACAATATTCATGATCATTATCATTATTATCATCATCATCTAATGAATCTAATTAAAGAAATTCTTTTATTAAATGAATAAAATTAGTAAAAATTTTTTACCTATAGTAAAAAAAATAAGATCATCATCTAAATCAATTGAAGTCATTTTTTTTTAAATTTTTAATTGATCTAGAAAATAAACAAAACTAGAGGAGATTTTATTGAAGTAAATATTCTAATTTATGTGTTGATAAACGTGTTATATTCACTAGAATATGTGTAAATAATTTTTCTTTATGTATATTTTCTATTAAATAATCAACTTGATTTAATTGTTTTATACCATCGTGTAAATATCGAGTCCAACCTTGAAGTAATTGATGACTAAATTTAATAACAAAACAAAAATGTTTACCAAATAATAGAAAATATCTTTTACCGATTGACAGCACGTTCACGTTTTTCATGACGAATCATTTTATAACGACCTATATGATTTGGTGGTCGACTTAAACGATAACTTGAATTGCGTATTCTAAACAAAAAACAAAGTCTGATCATAAGAATTTGGTTTTTCTCCTTATTTAAATGAATCGATAAATAAATTTATTTCTTGATTTAGAAAAGTTTGAAGAAACCATAACGAACCTTTCAGCCATATCTAAAATAATAAATAATCATTAGAAATCAAATCTTATTTTTTAATATTTTTACCATCATCTTCTGCCTACAACAACAAAGAGAAATAATTATTACACTTAAAAAAAAAAAAAAATTCTACTGACTCCCCAACCCCAATATAAATTTGACCATCCATTAACTGAAATAAATTGTTCTTTACTTATTGCTAAAACACCTCCAACCAGATGATTATACATTAATCTTAGAAAAAAAAACAACATTCAAAAACCAAATTTAATTATTCAAATAAATAATAAACTTCTTACTTACACATAACGTAATTCATCAACAGCAGGTGATAAATGTCTTGGTGCTTTTGGATCACACTCATAAACATTATAATCATTCTCTGGTACCAAATCAACATCATGAAAGATAAAACAGTTAAATGTTGGACGAATTTTCAATGCTTCTTGAAATGCAACATTCATTATTATACCTTTATTGAATGTAACATTGCCTATCTAAATAATTATAAATGATAAAATTGATATTTATTTATTAATTTTGTAGAAAAATCTTAACTATTTTGTATGAATGATATAAAAGATATTCTTTCAGAATATTTGCGTAATTTTTGTGAATGAACTAACGAATAAACATTTTTTTTTTTTTTGTATGAAAAATGTTTGAAACATTAGTTTTTGTTTTATATAGTTCACAAAACTACATCTGGATATTATCCAATATTATTAGAAAGCAATTTTATGGATCATAACCTGTTCTACAACAAATATTTGATAAGAACGTTTTTGTCTTTGAAGATATGGATGAAGATATTTTAATAATAATTTAAGATGATATTCTCTATTGCGAAATGGAATAATAATAGCAAGTTCTTGTCGAGATTTACAATCATTGGGCGAATAGATTCCACCTAGAATATTTTTTTACTAAAAAGTCAACTAATAAAATCTAACAAATCCTCATACCTATCTGTACAGTTGGATTATCTGACCATTCAATTTTTTCTAACATGATAACTTCTTTTTTATCTCCTATTATATAGAGATTTTTAAAAAAAATCACAATTGAATACCATTAACATTGATTTTACCTTGAAGAGTAGATGGATATAATGGGCAAAATTCATTTAAATGATCATTATCTATCAATATATATTGATTACCAGTATACTCATAGTATGTATTACAAAGATAAATAATAACAATAGCACAGATAATAATAATTATCTCTCGTATATATTCATTTCGAGTTAAACGATTTAGTTTACTTCGACTTAACATTAATCTTTAAAAAAATAAATAAATAAAGAGATGTATTAAAATAATAATAGAAAATTTTTTTTATCACATTCAAAACAAAAACAATCATAATTACAAATATAAAAAAATAATAAATAAAATTTCATTTCAATTAGAAAATTCAAATTAGTTTAAAATGATGTTAAACTCGAATTTTTTTCATCAGCTGATGTTATATTGAGCCAACATGGTTTTCCATATGAACTTGGCTTAACTAAGTCAGAAAATGATGAATAAGATGAAGCTAAAGCACCATAAAGTCCAACAAGTAATGCTATTAATAATAAAGCAACATCCCATTTTGGTAACACCCTAAAAATTAAAAATGAAATTATTTTTTATACATTAATTAAAAACAAAGGCATGAAACATAAGATAGAATAATAAGATTGAGAACAAAAAAAAAGTGACTATACTGAAAAGAAAAATAGAATTTCTTACCTGAATATAGTATCTAAAAATCTTTCATGAACTAATTGAGTTAATTGAACTTTAATCATAACAAAACAAACTACCGGTAATATAAAACCTAATATTGATACTGTTGAACTTCCAATAAATGCAAGTATAGCACCAAAATGTGGTATTGTTTCAGCCATAAATGCTAAAAACATGACAATACCACTACGTAATGCAGCACGTTGCCAACAAAAATGTTTTGGTACACGTGTAAGTTCTTCAAAACCTTGAAATATTGGATTTAATACTATTGTAAATGCCATTGCTAAATGACCAGTAATTAATATTTCGACTGTATAACGAAGAAAATTTTTTGGTAAATTCTTTAATATATTATCTTGGACATGTGAACCATAAACAGTATATCCAATAATTGATACAGGTAAATAAAAAACTAATAAAATTGAATAAGCAATAATTACTGCTAAATGAAATCGATGTGGTTGACGCATATCAACTTGTATTGTTGGAAACATTGCTGAACCACCCCATGCAAAAAACATCGTTCCCATTGAAAATGAAAATGATTTAAATGTAATTGAACTTGGGTTATATCGCTCAATTGTTCGATAATGCATAAGAATACTGATTGTAATAAATACACAAGCAATAGCTGTACAAACCATTGCGCCAATAGCTATAGGCCTATATAAAAATAAAAATTTTCATATAGGATATTTATTAGACTAATATAATAAACAATGATATAAAAGGTCAAGAGAAAAAATTAAGTTTTCTAATTATTTTTTTGGTTCATTAATTAATTTATCTTCAAGTTTCTACTTCACAGTTAATGGATCTATTTTTGACCTTAATTTTATAATATCAGCTATATTTTGTTATGAATTTTTCATTCATTTTTCATCATACTTATCAATTAATCAAGACTGAAGATAGAGTCGATTTATCAGTATCACTTAGATAAGAATCTGTTCAAAGTACGGATAAAACTTTCAAGACATTGTATATCAGAGATACAGGTTGAAAGGTACGACAGTATTATTGAATAAGTTTCATAAATTGAGTTCATTGGAATAAAGTCGAAACCACCAAACTCTATCGTTGAGTTTAAAATTTTTGGATTCGGTTAATAGAAAATTTACAGATCTGAACTTGACAGGTTTTATTCAAAAGCTAAAATACATTATTTCATTGAAATTTCGACTTCTAGAAAAAAAGGACAAGTTTGAAGATATTTCTAGCTAATGAAGAATGTGATCCAATTTATTCCTCTCCAATCTGCTGACAAACTACTGAAATAAGAACATTTTCTTTGTTTAACTTCTGAAGATATAATTTATATATAAACATCTTACCAACTATCTTTTGGTGTTCCAAGCCAACATGGACCAAGAAGAACAGCAGCAACAATAAGAATCCATATACATACAGGAAGATGTGCATGAATACCATCAAATAAACTTTGAAGATTTTGTGCAGCCAAAAGTAAAAATACAACACCTGTTTGACTATTCAAATATATCTTCACCAACTTGACAAATATATACAAAGATAATAATATTCTTTATCTTTTTTTACTAACATCGCTAACGAATAGTTCTTGCACCCAACAATTGAAAATAAATGACAAATATTAACACATACCTATATACCAATATTAAAATTTTCATATAAAAAAAAAACAAAAAAATAAAAGTAAATTTAACTTACTTTCCAATACGGCCAGCACCTTCAGTAGCTATGACTTGAAATGGTGATCGACTACCTTCTTCAGAATAAACTGGATTCATTTCTCTTAACATCGTCCAACAATCACCTAATTTAATACCAGAATAACCGGATAGAAAGCATAGAACAAAAGTCGATATAAGACCGTACCATCCAGCTTGATCCATAGCTTTCGGTAATGCTAACAGACCCGTACCAGCCATTTCTCCAGTGATAAATATAGCGGCAGTGAATACTGTAAGACCATGATGCTAAAAGAAAAAAGATATTTTTTAAAATTTCAAAAATATACATTTGAAAATTTTTACTTGAATATGTTTTTTATCCGATGGTAAAATTGGGTCTTGATAGCTATTGTCGAAAGACATTAACTCCAGTATTAATCTACAACAAAAAAAAAACAAACTTTAGCAGGTTCTTTTTCCTTATCTAGAGAAGGGAGAAAATCAAATCTACAAAGATGATCAAAAAGAAAAATGTGATGAGGATTTGAGATGGCTTATTTAAAAATAAGCTTTAAAGTCCGGTCGATCTGCATATGGAACTTTTCCAGCATTACAATCGTTATTATATTGAATCTAACAAAATAGAAATAAACTTTTTTTTTAAATAAATTAATCTTTAAAACTTACTCGTTTTTTCTGTGCAAAGTATTGAAGTAATCCACCAACTAGAAGGAAAAGTGCAGGCGCAAGAAGTATACGTGGTGACGTATATAAATAACGATAACTATTTTGTTGATAAGCATAAAGGCGAATATTTTGTGGGTCCACCTTATCAAAAGTAAAATAAAAATAAAAAACATAATTGAAAGACAGGAAATAAATCATATTTACTTACAAAATGACCGGGTACACTAGCATAAAATGGATTTCTGTAACGTTTAAGAAATTCTGCTTTCGTTGTTGCACGTAATTGTGCACGTTTTTGAATTAACTTTATTTCATCAGGTGTTAGATCCCATTCAGATGGGAGTGTTTGAACAGGCATCTATAACCTTGAAAGATATCAAAGAAAAGTCTTTGAGTGAAAATAAAGAATACGAAGATAAAGACTAGAAAAGTTAAGTTATTTTTTCATACCATTGCTGACTAATGCACGCCTTCATCTATGTTTTTACATAAAGATGTCACTATCTTCTAAATAAATGAACAGAGGCGTACGAAAGACTTTAAGGGTTTCCACGTGGCTTGATTTTTTTTTTGCTTGTTTGATAATATATAGAATTATATTCATTTTTATTTGAAAAGAAATATGCCAGCTAATCATTCAAAACGTAAACGAGCTGTTGAAGTACATAATAAAAAAGTTACACAACGTGGTAATGTACCAAAAACAAATAAACAAGTTGATTCAAAAACACCTGTTGGTCCATGGCTTTTGGCTTTATTTGTTTTCGTTGTAGTTGGTTCGGCTGTCTTTCAAATAATTCAAAGCATTAGAATGGCATAACATTTAAATATTTTTCATTGTTCCTTATATGTTTGTTTTTAAAATATCTTAAAGCATGATTTAATGCAAATGATCATTAACAAAAGAAAATTTAACTCATAAGAAACAGTATCTGTCGTTTATTTTCTCTTTATTATTATTATTATTGTTGTTGCTTTTTTTTCTTCTTATAAAATATCATCGCATTTCATTCATCAACACAATATATAAAACAAGCATAAATATTATATTATTTACTCGTGCCATTAGAACATGAAAATGAAATTTCAAGCATGAATTTAGGATTATTCGAAAATGATACCAACATCTCCGATTTTGACTGTTATAGGATTGATATTGGCGTTTATTAACGAGTTTAAATTAAAATTTTAAGTACGAATGTCAAGCGAAGTGAAAGTTTGTTTTGAGAATGTGAAATTTATGATTGTAGTTGTTCCAAGGTGTCATTGGATTTGCACTATGAATGGTGTTGACTGTAAAATTTGTTTGCTACATGTTTCAATATTAAGAAGAACTCAAAAATACTATTGTCAGCTAAGTTCATATAATACTTAAAGGTTCTTGACCGAAATCGATTTTGCCTCAAGTATATTGCAATCGTGTGGAAATTTTAGAACATGTTGAAGATATATTGGAGAGGCTATCCGAAAAGTTTCTGCTCAATACGATGGTATTTAAAAAGAGATACTTGTCAAACAAGGCTCTCAAGTCACTTGCTTGGCGTCTCAAAATTCTAACCTTTTATGCATAGTTCGTTAAGAATTTAGCGATGCACCCTTGAAAAAGTGTAAACAGACAAAAACAAAAGACTTTTGAAAAAGAAATTTTACAATACTTCAATATTTTAATGCGCTTCCGACATTACCAGCTAGTGAATTTAACTTAAGTGTTGTCCAAGTTTTTTTTCTTGTTTGAAGCTTGCTCAGACACCTTTTACAATCTGTAACAATACGTGTTTTATGAAGAAATTGTGTTTTTTTTGGAAGAAGATGACAAAAATCATCGAACATTATATCGATACAAAAAAAAATGACAACTAAAAACTATAGTGATTACGAATGATCAGACCTTACATTATCCTCCCGCGAATCTCTCTCTTCAATTTGCTTTGTTTCATGAAATTGACTTTTTTTGGAAGTGAGCATACCACATGCTGTATCTCAAAACATTCAATTAAGTTTTTATTAAATAACCTATAATACGAATTTCTTTGACCGGGTATTTAGAATTTTGAAAAAGAATCAAAATTATCAAACTCATTTGTTGAAGTTCTACAATCATGTAATTTTATTGAAATCGATTGACATATTATTATTCACAATAGAGTGTACAAGAAAATAGGATAGTTTTTAGTTTTCTGGTAATATATAATATTCATATAAATCAAGTCTTGAGATGATAGAAAACAAAATAAAGTTCAAAGTTGTGTTCGAAATTGGTGTTTTTTGATTGACATAAATAGTTTCGAAAGATGACTTTCATCCATAATCCATCTAATTACACAAGTTCAGAACAAACTTTAAGAACATTTGCTATGTGATCTAAGAATGGCATCTTCGAAATGATTAATTTCTTTCTGACAATTAGTGACGCTTAAATGATATTCTACTAAGATTGCTAAAAAAACATATCATAGGAAGCAAATTTAACTATTTTATCTAAATGTCTGATCTAGAACGTCTTGATCTATCGTGTAGATCTGAATAAAAACAACGCATTCGTTTATTTCGTCAATATTTTGTATGTTCTAATCGGCTTTATAATCAATGCTGTGCGGTGTATGCAATTCGCGATTTGATCTTAAAGCTATTTTTAATGGTTTTTTTTTATTTCTTTTTCTGTATTTGCACTTTGACTAAATCTAACGACGTCATTAACTACAACGCAGTTTATCATTATGTTATCATAGGTCATTCATATGCACTGACAATACATTTATCGTGTCACATCATACTACTGAAGATGATTTTTTATGAAAATCGGTTCGAAATGAATTTTGAATAAAAATACTCAACATTTGATAGATTGAAGTTTGTGCTTAAAGTTTCTTGTTATCAATGATTTCTACCTAAGTAATAGTAGAAATCATTTACAACATGAGGATCTATGCGTACTTGCTGCGAAGATATACTACAAAAGGTCATTAGTCTATTTTAAGTATTTTAAGGCGTTTAAATAATAAATTGATATTCATGGTCGATCAGTAGAGATTTGAAAAGAAACATTTGACTTGTTTCAAATATACAACCAAAAACAAACAAGGCACCCTAATCTATTCAGAGAAATAGAATAGCTCATAATCGATTCATGA